TGCAACTGCTGTTGTCTCTCTTCTTGTTTCTTTTCTCGTTCTTCTTGTTTCTTTTCTTGTTTAGTTTCTCGTTCTTCTTGTTTCTTTTGCTGTTCTTGTATTGCTGCCATCAAATCTGCTAAGCTGTAGTTTGATTTGTCGCCTCTCGTTTCCATTTTTTTTATCTCACTTCTGACACCAATTTGTTACGCCTCCAGTCGTTAATTAATTTTCCGTAAATTCGTTCCGACGAAACTTTAGCGACACAAGTCCTTTCTTAAATAAAACTGGTTTATTCTTTCCGAATACAACTTTATGATACACTTAATTTCAACAGTCGCTCTATAACAAACGCTATAACTCACGTCGCCAACAATATTCTGTCCGCATACATTCAATTACTCATTACCTCCCAGTGGCCGGTCTTATATATACAAGACTAACATACATCTAGTAAACGATAGGGCCTTCACGAAGGAACAGGATATTTCTAGAAAGAGGTGGCGTGATACTAGTCACGTGACCTTGCTGACGCAACATTATGTTCTAAGGATAAATATCCACATCCACTTAAGTCTCTTGACTGGCAAGAATTTAACAACAATAATGCAGCATTATAGTAATTAGATCCTGTACTCTGTCAGCATCTCCTACCATAATGCTAGTGTCAAGAGGTTAAAAAGTACTTGAAAATGTTTAGCTCACATCGTACTGCTGAATATTTTGAGAATAAAAAGTTCTGTATACAATTAAATTTTTTAAATTTGAAATTTTGTTGGGAAGAGCATGCAGCACCTTCTAAGGAAATTCAAGATCCACGTGACTGAGAAATTAAATGTTGAGTTACACGATCATATGAACATAAGCTCTGGATCTAGGAATGAAAGTTTTATGGAATTGGAAAAAAACCTTGGATATTTTTTTAAATATGACAATAAAGGAGCAACAAACTCCAAACTGTATTAGAAACATTGTTTGAATATTAATATACAAAAATAATTTCTAGGTTTTTGTTTCATCATTTGCTTTCTTACATAAAAACATGGAAAAAATATATATAAAAAGTGAGAAATAGTAAAACTACATGCTTATGAAAGCTATTTATCATCTAGAATTTTGTTTTACTAGTCTGCTTTACTAACTGTATTCACAAGATATTTGTTTGAAGTTATTTTACTTTGCTATTGTCTTAGTTGCTGGGCATCCAACAGGTATGCCAAGATTTTAAAGAGAATTTGTGAAGCTGAAAGCAAATGTTCTAAAGGTGAGTTTTATATTATAGGTATTGTAACCCATCATTGAAGAAAAAGTCATAACAGTCTTTGTTCAGTGTGACAACTTTTAGTTGAAGTAGACCATGCTATTTTTCTGTATGGATGGTTTTAATCTTTTAGTTTGTTACAAGCTATTTTACAGTTACTAGTAACAAACCCTATCATATCAGGTTTTAAGTCTAGTTTTGAAATGCTCATGAAATCACTAGGAAAAATACACAATGTATTATCGGTTCTTCATAGTAGTAATGACCACTTGTGTTAGATCATTACATTAAGGGATGAGTGATGATGAAAATATTCTTTACCTGAGGCATAATCATGAATGCCTTTAAATGTTTCTTAACTTGCAGTTTCTCGAGTTGTTTTTAGAGTCACTAAATGTAAAAAGTTGGGTTGTTGAAAAAATTATTGAATTCTTGAATCACTTCATTAATATATGCACCCATGGATTTAACTTTTTCTTTGCATTTCATTATCATTTTAAGTTTACAGCTTCAGAATGTGAATAATCCATCTTTTTTTTTCTTTTGTAGATGTCTAAAGACAGTGTTGGATCATGGGTTTTGTGCCTGTGGACAGAGAGACAGAAGAAGCCCCTCCATAAAAACAAGGTGTTACTACTCACTAAGATCTCCCTGTTGTTTCAATTTGTATGTATAATTATTACAAAACAGACTCCCTAATTTGCAGTGTTCTGTGTCCAGGGGGCATCACTGAATTTTCTGTACATGACCTACTACTTGATAACTTGAATGTAAGAGGAAAAAGTTGTTTAAGCTACACAAACTGTTACTGTGTCTGCATGGCATGATTGACTCCCAAGAAGACTTGGAGCTAATATGAAGGATCTAGTCACTGGAGGAAAAACCAAGAAAGAACTTAGTGAACTTGTGTATATTTCTGGAAACTTTTTGGGTACCATTTTTAGTGCAGCTCCCTGGATGATTAGAACATTATATTTAAATTAAAATATTACCTTGCAGTTTAATATGGCATTCATTTCTGTATTAATATTTTTATCCTCTAGCAATTAGTAATGATGAAAAAGAAACACTGGAAATTTAATCTAAGGCTATGCAAATTTAAAAAAAATGTCAATGCAGATTTTCTTAATGTCATAGTTGATTTCAGTTTTGGTATGTTCCTTTTTTTAAATATCTTACCAAAGGTTGTACATGAGCTGAAAGAGTTTTATTGGTTGTACATGTTTAAGGATGTCTGATGGTCAAGTCAAGCTTGTTCCAAAATCATTTGGACCAGTTTTAAGAATACACCTTGTAGTAGAGGAAATGGCTTTTGAAAAAAAAAAAAATATGGAGAGGATATTTTTAATAATGTTGTTTTTGTATGTCACGTTATTTTACTGTTAGACTCATATCTTTATAAATACTAGTGACATATAATTTAAAATGGTTGTTGTGTTTCTTGTCTACTGTTGTTGATGGTGTTGGTTTTATAAAAAGAAAAATTGTTCATGCAAAGCCATCTGAGGTAGAACCCAGTGCCTCATAGTTCAGGCTGTGACCCAAGCACTTGGAGATAAGTGGTTAAAACATATTACATAATGTACATGTTGGTGTCTTGTGTATTTGATTAGCCTACCATAAAGAAGGTTTAATGTGTTCATTTACATCATATGAACACTAGTAGTTTTTCTTATTAACTCTTTTGTTATAATGCTGAACTATTACACTTTTAAGGTCAACATATTTAGATTATTTTAAATGTTATTGTTTGTGTTTCTAAGGTCACAAACAATTCTAAACGAGCTTCAAATGTTACATGTATTTGTATCGAGCTTAAAAATATTGATTCTATGTGAATCATTATTCTGTGCATGTACACATCATCACAGCTTTGTCTCTATGTACTATGCTCATTTTTCTGTTGAAAGCCCTATGCTGAAGGTATTGGTTGGTCCTTTTATGTCTCTGACCTTAGATGACTCAAATCTTGTCTATATCAACAAGTAAAATCTACTGCAAACTACTACTACTACTGAGTACACTAAATTATGAAACTTCATCCGGAAAAATGGATACTATCAGTCTTGTGTTTTTTTCACTTGCCTTACAGACATTTCATTCGAGGAATGTTTGATATATCATCATCAGTGCCACTTTTAACTATTGACTGTTTGAATATGTTTACAATTATTACTAGTACTTATAGCCTTAGTTACAAATAATAATAATTTAATTATAAAAACCATAATTTAAAAATAACCTTGTAATTTGAATTGTTCAAACTGTATGACTACTCAGATGTAGTGAATGAAAATTTTTTTTTGTGCACTAGATATTGTGCATTAGCTGATAATAGTGAAAAATACTACCATCTTCTAAAATGACAGCATATTTTAAAAGTGCTAATTTCTCGTATCTGTACAAGTATACAAAGAAATAAATGTTCAATTTTTTGAACCAAAATTAATAAGTGAACATTTCAAAAGTACTGACTAGGGTACTTTCAAACTAGCATTCCAGCATGATCATAATGATCTCTGGCTGATGATTTCTGACCGTAGAAAATCTTTCTCATAACTCCGTGTTTATTCTTCTTCAACTAGATGGATGAACCCAGTAATATTTACTAGATTTTCCTAAATATCCTATTTCTCTGCTCAGACTTCTTGCATTAAATTGATGATAAAACTGGATTTTAGGGCTGTGCTTGTCCTATTCCTTTGCATAGTTATATTGGTTGCTACACAACTTGTGTAGGACATTTTTTATAGTGCATATATGTGAGCACAAAGCTTGGACATTATTTAAGTGTGTTGGTTGGAAATTCTTGTTAATGTATTGATTGATTACTTGGTCTGCTAAAGTTGTCAGTAAACCAGCCACGTGTAATAGTTAGTGTGTAAGTGGAATAGTCAGTTTATCTGATTGTTTGGCCTGCAAGTGGTTCATTTAAATTGGTTGAAAAAATAATTTATTATTCTCTCTGACCTTGTGATTAGTTAGTTGCTTGATTAATATGACTTTTAGGCTGTTTAATAATTTTTTGTGCATTAGCTATGTTGGTTATAGATTATGTTTTCACCTGGTGAATCTTTCATGCTTGTCACAGCCCATTAGTTAATCAGCCCTGTGATATGGTGACAAGATCTGATCCATTAGGATCTTAATTTCTATTTTCCAAGGAGAGTTGCCTTGAGTTATAGTTAAGACTGTATATAATGGTTGGAGATGGCTTGAATGGGTAATGAAGAAAAACTTTAATATAAGTTTAACAAAACAGCAAATGTACAACGTTTCAACAAGGTTTTGATGATGACAAAACCTTGTCGAAACGTTGTACATTTGCTG